GTATTTGGTCCTTAATAGATCAACGCTACACGGGGATTTGCAATCATCCCAGAAGCTGCGGTCGTATCTCTAATATCAACAGACAACACTTCCTGCCTGCCTAAGCTTGCTCTCCAATGTGCAAACAAAAAATACCAGCTGGCTGCTGAGCAACGGCTACAAATCAACGCACAGTGACAGGAGATAACGTTTAATTAGAAGAAAACCAGCGTGTTTCTTGACCCGCCGTACAACTCACCGGTCATGGTGAACACGCCGACCACCAGGTTGATGTTCCTGTCTCCGAGCAGCACCACCTCGGTCCTGTCTCCATCGCTTTTCCTCTCAGCCCTCCTGGACTTGCGGGCGGCCCAGATTCCCGTCCCCAGGATCAGGATGTAGAACAGCACCACTGCAACCACCCCAGGGATGTTGAGAGCCATGGCGCTCAGCCGCTAGTGGAGCAGTGTGACGGTCGCGGCAAACACCGGCGCTGTGCAGAGAGAGTGTGTCAGGACAAAGGTCAGCACCGAGGTCGGGAGCTTTCAGGCCGTGTTTTGGGAGTCCAGTGGAGTTTACATTGGCATCGGCGGTACTGAGCGTCACTTTGATGAGGAAAAGGCAAAGTTCACTTCTCTGATTCTGATTATCAGCATGCGGTCTATTTCGTAGAAGCTCCAGCGTTGGAAACACCCCATTTGTTTGTTAATGATTATTCTACTTTTCTTTCTCGTACATTTTTTAACATGTTGTGTTTTGATTTTACTCTATGTGAAGTCAGTCATTAGTTTATTTTTATTGTTTTTGCAGCGTACACAACTTCTCCTGGTGATACTGTATCCTGAACAGCCCTGACCTCTGAGCAGCAGCCTTACTGTGAAAACGTTGCATTTGTGCCACTTTAAACATCAAAATGTCGATTTTTCCTCGTTTGGCTGCACATTTATTTATCTTTCAGCTTTTTTTTAAACCTGTTTAACATTTGTTTTCACTAAACTCCACAACTGCACCTGCAAAACTCTACAAACCAATGTTAAAACTTATAGAATATTAAAGGTTTTAAAATGCATTATGCTGAAGTAAATTCATTTAATAAATAATACTGCAGGTCTGCTCGACTAATTCCTCCACTTGAAACCACTTTTGCTCTCAGACAGTGGTTTTAAATGTGCTGTATGATGTAACTTGACTTGATAATTGGGTGAACGCAGCCTTTCAACATTTTAGGTCTATTTAGCCACATTAGCTAAGCGAGAAGCAAGAAACTGCTAGCCTAGCTTTGTTAAAAGTAGCTTGAAAAAAAAAAACAACTTAAAAATGCCCCACACGATAACATTATCCTGTATATGTTGTTTATTTGACACATAAATAGAAAATAAAAGCTCACAGATTTGGCTTCGTTTAGTACCCGAACAAAATTAGCTTGTTAGCTAGCTAACAACTGAAACTTTTTGATGGCGCTACATTAGCAGTCTCTCCACAAGTCTTGTTTATTAATAGTCCTGACATAGCTAGCATAAAGCTAGCTTAGCATAGAGAGATAAAACTAACAGGATTTGTTGAACCTAGCTTAGCATTAAGAGTGTAAGTGTAGCTTCAATACTTTATGTAATGAGGGGTAAATGCTTGGCGCTAGCTTGAGGCAGTCAAACAGTGGAAACGACGCAACATGCATATACGTGAAGTGGCGATGTGTTCACCGTAAATTAAGCTATGCTAGCTGTTTCTTCCGCGTTCTAACAGTGCTAAGCTAGGCTAGCCACATTCCTTTGAAGTGGACAGGCTGTCTAAGCGTGCAAATGTGCTCAAAGTGACTAAATTAAAAGAATTAACTGCTCCTTAACCGTTTTTTCCCCTTTACATTCGTTTTTTTCCAATTCTTATTCATGCATATGGATACGATGCTAAAGTCAATGAGTGTGTGGTAAATGTGAAAGTTTAAAAAAGTGGAAAATAAGATTAATATATAACATTTTATGGCATTTTATGGGATTAACGTTTTTATTTTTAGGGTGTGAGTGTAGTTTTTGTTGTTGTTGTTGTTGTTGTTTTTAGATATATTTCTGTTGAACCACAATTCAAAAGCAATGCCTTGATGTTCATTACATTTTTATTTATTATTACTTTTGTCGATTTCAATTTATTTCAATGACAGCTGTTTTTTTCCTTCTTTAATGTGAGGGTATGAATTAATTTGAGGACGACTGCATATATGAATATAAATAAAATACCTATATATATATTTATTAATAAAAATCCAACCAAAATCAAATACCTGACGCTGTGCAACCAAAACAGAACATAAATGCAAGTGGAGACGTCAAAGATTGTACATGAATCTGAGGGCGAAGTGCATATTTTCAGTGGAAATCGAACCAAAAACCAACAGCTTCTTTGAACAAAACTTTCTGTATTTCATCACACGGTCCAAATGCAGTTTAAGTGTTTTAACCGAACCAGTTCTGTCTAGTTTTAGGTTCAGAGTCTGTTTTGGTGAAGGAGAGCAGAAGAATGCCAATAAAATGAGTCAGTGAGGCTTTGAAAAATAAAAGGCCTTTTATCAGAGCGAAAGGTCGAAACAGCCCGAAGAGAGAAACTGGTGTCCTCGAGGGCTTTGATCCAAAAATGCTTCTCTTTGTTCGAGGCTTAAATAACTTTAACACCTGACACTCTCGGAGCTGAGTCATCGCCACGCTGGGCTTCCAGAGGAATGAATGTTCCCACAGCACAAAGCTTCACGTCCAGGAGCAGGACGGCAACTCCTGACCGGCTTCTGGTGACAGAACTTCAAACCGAGAGACTGAAACGCTGCATCTTAGTCTTCAAACTTGTTCATAAATGATATTTTTAGTGAGTCATGGAGGATGAAAACTGTCCGTGTTGGTCTGCTCACGTTAAACTACAAAACATAAGGAAAGTGAAACCTGTTGGTCAGCCTCACTGGTGGACATCTACCTGAACTGTTTGCCTTTAATCATTCTTCCTACATCGAGACACGTGAATAGACAACTATTCAATCATATGCAATATAAAACTATCTCTCAGTTGTTTAATAAATGAGAAAATCAAAGTCCTCCAAGCTCTAAAATGTCCCAAATCTGGTGCTCGTCTTCTGTTTACACTCATCCCTCACAGCATAAAACCAGAAAACACCTTCATTAAAAACATCTGTAAGAGAAAAGAAGCGACTCTAACACACACGACACAAGCCTGGTCATTATTTACTGTTTTATTCATAAGCATGTTCGGTACACTTTGATTAGCGTCGTTTGTTTGTTTCCATTGTTAATCGATTTTTGTGACCAAAGCACACAAAACAGGAAGCGGTGAGCTGTGGGTTCAAACTAAAACAATATTCCTAAACAACAACAAAAACAGGAAATAAACAACAAAACACCCAAACAGTGGCGTTCCTACGGTTTGGTGGAGCAGCGACAAGCCATCGGTGACGCAATAAGGAGTTTATATTCATTCTTCTTCTCTCAGTGTTTGGCTGAGCCATGTGGTGCAACTTAATGCAGCTAAAAGATGCTCTCACATTTAAATCCAGTTGGTCAGAGAATGTAAACATTACAAAAAAGTTACTCTAAAATCACCTTAATTAGCTTTAAGCTAAGCTACAAACGTCCACCGTTCAATCCCAACAATCAAAGTCAGACTTTCAGAATAACTGTGTGCAGGAGCAGCTGCATGTCCTCAAAGCTTAGAGCTGGATCTCAAGAGGTTTTGGTTTTTTAAAAGCCTAAAATTAAAAAAAAAAAAAAAAGCAGCAAAGACCTCGCTAACAGCTGTTTCAGTTTCGTTATACGAGTTAATCAAAGCCGGAGGGATCATCATTTATGATTCACCTGTGAATACAAGGCCTGAGTCTGCAGGAAGTCTGTGCAGCATTTAGTTGGTTTTTTCTTTACTAGAAACATCCATCATCTCTACACCTTAATCCTCACTGGGGTCACGGGGGGCTGGAGTCCATCCCAGCTGACACCTGGACAGGTCGCCAGTCTATCGCAGGGCTACCGACTAGAACCAACGTAGAGATAAAACACTCTATCAAGGCACACTGTAAATAAATGGAGACGCTATAAAATCATGGGCGTTATGAGGAGTCACAATACATTTCTTACAAGCTCCTGTTTAAATGAACAGCACGTATAGAACCAGCAGTCAAATCTGATTACTGACACGTGCACTTGGGTTGGCTGGACATTTCCTGGTTTGGCTGTTACAAAGATTTCTATTCAGGATCCATTAGGAGGCGAGTCTCACCCTCATGACGTCTCCGGTAATAACAATACAAAAGAACTCCTTACATTGGCACTGGTTGGCTTTAACCTGTATTCTTTTTTATTCACAACACTCTAACAAATAGTTGGCAGAGGAGCAGGTATACTTTTAGTGACGTGTCTTCGTCCGTAAGAGCACTCAAGAAAAACCAAAACACATTTTTTAAAGCTTTGTGAAGAGGTGATGCAGACTCAGCACACTCGCTTTAAAGACAAACCTCGTGTCCAAACGCTGCTCGTTACTCACTAGAAGGCACATCATGAGTGAACTGAGCAGTCAACACCTTGTTACACCTTCCTAAAAGCTTCCAGGGTTTTCCAGGTATCAAACCTGAAGGTCCGATTGTTGCGTAGCGTCCGGTAGTTTCACAGCGTTCGAGCAGAATCGTAGGTGAGCTGGTGTGCTTCAGCTGCAAGTGCATGATGCAAAGAAAGAGAGGCAGGAGCTTCTAGCATAGAGCGATGCGAGCAAAGAACTCCGCTGATTGACATTTAACAAAATCACCGAGTGCACTGGAAGACGGACATGTTGGTGCAAACGCTTTATAGTCGTAGCAACGGTAACCGGGGGACCGGGGGAGGCGTAACCTAGCGACGAGTTGATTCTCTGTCTTTAACCGTCCCTGATCTAATGAACTATGACACGTTCTGTATGAAGACGATCAGGCCTCGTGTTCGTAGCAAATAAAGTCCGTTTGAAGACGTTTTGTTCCTAAAGTTATATTATTTTGCACAAAAAAAAAAAAGCATTTAAACTATTTAACATGGTCCAGTCGTGTTTGGTGGTATTTGTGTTCTTTGGGGCTGATTATTCAGAACCATCAGACTTCTTTACATCGTTTTGCAGAAATTAAAAGTAAAGACTCAGTGCAGGTCTATCTGGAATGCTTCAAAGATATTAAAACCTGAAGTTATTCTTTCTCAATCCTGATGAAGACTGAGATTGTTACGTTTTGTCGACCGGATCTTTTATGACCCTGTCAGCAGTTTTGGCACTTTGGTTTCATACAATCAGTCTTTGGTGAAAAACCTTCCTGATCCTCAGCAGCTCCTTCACATGTGACAAATCATCTCAGTGGTCGAAACTTTTTTCCAAAAAGATAAACTCTGGAACAGTTCATACCTTAAATAAGATCTACTTAGACTTTAGAAGCTTCTAAGTTCCTGTTAAAGACCTACTTCTTCTCTTTGGCATTCAAGTAGAGCTTGACACCCTGACTTCATCCCTTATTCTCACCCTGTCCCTATTCTATATATTGCATTGTCTTTTTATTCAGATTCATGTTTTAGTCATTGTGTTTTTTGTGGTTTGCTGTGATAATTGCATTTTGGGGAAATGTGCAGACATCTCGTTGTTGTGGTGATACTACTTGTGTAGTCTGTGGGAGTCTGCTCAGATGACTCTGGTCCATGGATACACAGTAGGTCGTATCTGAGCACATTACTGCACTCGGAGCACAAATGTTTAGCTGCAGGTAGACATCTGTTGAAGAAGTCTGCCTGGACTCTTGTAGATTTGGGGATGAACTCTACAACATGGGGACTCTTGTTTACTCAGGGAGTTGGGGTTTGAAGGTGAAGCCACAAATCAATGTTGACTTTGAGCTTTTAATTTCTGCCTACTGCAGCTCTGAAGCCCTTGATGAACATCTGGATCTCTTTGGCTCATCGTCTTGTTTGATTCGGCTCTCTGGCGCTGCACAGCTACACCGTAAACGTCAGGGTTGTTGGATAAATTCTGCACTAAGCTGCAGACTGTGGATCCTCAGCTGGATCTTCTTATTGGTTCCTTCATTAAGGAAGGTGATCCACAGTTAACAAAAATATGATCTAAGGTAACTTTCTGCCATCAGTCTGCCTGCTTTACGCCATCGGAGGCGTCATTTGAACAGCTGGGTGAGGAGCTCGCTGGCGACGATTCCAGCAGCAAGGATAATGAACATGACCAGCAATATGAGTCCACGACGTAGAACCAGCTGCGTCACGGACAGAACATCTCCCACCGTGGTGCTGATGGATTTAGCCTGTTCGGGCGAATCCGCCTCCTGGTATGGATGCTCCTCCTCGGCCCTCTCACATCTGGATGCAGAGCTGCTGACCTGGGCCTGGTTGTGATTGGAGTCTAAAGGTTGGAAAGAGAAGCGTTAGCATTAATGAGATAACACCAGTCGGGTTTCGGTTGATGCTTCACACCTTCCTCACCTTTGTTTTCCATCCCGACCGTCTCTTTTCCATCTATACTCTGGACTCCCGCTCGTACAAGAGCCTGATCAGAGACACGAGGACAACAGTTAGCAGCTTGTTCTGATCGTATGAAAAGTGTAAACGGATGGAGGCACGCACCTCTTCAGCAGCCTTGTTCCAGTCGAGTTTGTACAAATACACGAGGAAGAAGATCGACTGCATTCCAACGCAAACCGTGAGTCCAGTCCACAGACCTGTCGCAGGAGAAAGACGAGAACTTCAGCGGCTTTCCTGAAAAAGCAGGAGAAGGCATCACCGTGGTCCATCCTTACCCACGATGCCCATCTTGGCTGCAAACATCAGGGACACGCCGATGGGGAAGCCGATGAAGTAGTATCCCACCAGGTTGCACAGAGCACCGATCAGCTGTTTACCTGCTCCTCTGAGGACACCTCCAGTCACGCCCTGCCACAACAGAACAACAGAATCACGTTTTTTATGGTCCTGAGCAAAAGTTTACGAAGAACAAGAACGTCATTAAGTTTCCAGTGACTACTAGAACTCTTTATTTTGCATTTTGGTTCTCTCATAGATTTATTATTGGACTTCTGGAAATATGACAAAATCTGCTGGATCAGAAGTAGACAACTTGAAATATCAGTTTTGGTGACAATCATGAATGAATCAGACTTTCTTTGTGGCCTCTTAACATCTCGTGACTGATGACTGCTGACTACAGCTGCTGACAGCTGTTTGTAGGCACTAGGTGGAGCAGTTGTGTCACAAACTATCACCTGCTGCTAAAAGACAACTGGTCAGAATTTTCAAAAGTCAACCAAGAATCACCACAAAGCTGATCTGCAATGAGCCAGAAGCTGCTGGAACACAGGAACCAGAAGGAAGCCCATCCTCCAGAAACGGCTCCTTAAAGCTTGACTGAAGATCACAAGGACAAAGAAAAGATCTTCTGGAGGTCACATGGAACAGAAATTGAGCCATTTGGCCACAATGAGCTGGAAAATGTTTGGAGGAGAGACGGTGAGGCCTTTAACCCCAAGAACACCAAACCTACCACCAAGCATGGAGGTGGCAGCATCATGCTCTGGGGACAACAGTGGACCAATGAAGAAGGAGGATCACCTCCACGTTCTTCAGGAAACCCTAAAATGACCAGCCAGAAGGTTGATCTTGGACACAGTTGGGTGTTTCAGCAAGACAATGAGCCCAAACACACGATGAAGTGGTGAAGAACTGGTTCCATCAGGCTGGAGTGAAGGTTCTAGACTGGTCCAGTCCTGGCTTTAACCAATCACATGGACTGTCATCGTACGGACATGATGCAGCAGATTTATTCTTATTTCCAGACGACCAACATTAAATCCATGATAGTTGTGTTTCAGTGATTCCATGATAGAAAACTCAGAGCTGTAGGAGTCATTGAAAACTCAGGACTGATTGTGTTGACATGAAGCTGGTTGCTGATGAAGGTCGCGTCTTACCGCAGTGGCATCAGCGATATGCGTGAATATAAATATGAACATGACGTCGGCAACCCTGTGCACGATCTCTCTGAAAAACAAACACACACAGATAGAGATTCAGTCCATCGCATCTCCAGCTTCACATCTAAAATAAAAACAAGATCGTTGACACAATGAGAAACATGTGGGTGATGCATCAGCACTTTGTAAGTCCTCCAAAGCAGCACCACGACAACGTTAGCTTTAAAAAACACTAAAAACACCAAGATTAAACCATTTATCAAACGATAAAAACAGAAAGAATCGTCTGATGGTCAAATTCCCTGAACTTATTGTTAAAACGGACCTAATCATCACTTTACTCCGCTTATTCTCTTTATAAATATGTCAAATTTAAACCACTTCCTCTGATCAGCATCACCATCATGTGAGTGGTTTTAATAAAATATTTACAGTATGTAGAAAGATTTATTTTTCCAACCCCTGTGGTCACCTGGACAAAAAGTTCTTCATGTTGATTCCAGTTTCTCTCAAACTTTGTAAATTAAATATCAACAAAATTCGACTTTTTTTGCTTATTTTTTTTTAATGATTTCTGTGTCATGCAGCACAAAACACACTTCTGCGTTCTCTCTCCTTCTAGTCGTGGTCGTGCTGTTTCCATAGAGGTGCAGGACTTTATATTTCAGCCACTTTGGGGTTTAATTAGCTCGAGTTCAGGGAAACTGGCCGTCAGACGCTGATCTCTAGGAATGAGCAGCTTGTTTAAATTGGCATCATCAATCAGGAGCTCAGCGTCTGCGAGGCGGCGAGAAGCCGATGACCTCAGTTAACGTTTAACGAAGCGGGCAGCGACGAGGAACGACCCGCCGCAAAAAAAGAGAAACAAATGAGCGATTATCTGGCTGTTGGATTTCACTCACAGCTCTGAGGTGAAAATGAATCCGATGACATTTCTGCAGATGGCGAAGCCAGCTGACACGAAACAGGCGATTATGGCTGCAACGAGAAACACAGGGCAGGCTGGGTTATTGAAGAACACTGTTAGAATAAAAGCTCCGTTTGAACCAGATTACATCAGAACCGAGTATTCAAGATAAACTGCAGCTGCATCTTGTGGATTTTATTCTCTCTAAATCCTCGTGTTGGCTGAAGAGTGCAACAAGTCATAACCTGGAATACACGAATGCATTCCTATTTGTTGGCACAGCGCTGCCACCTGTTGGTGACATTTACTGCTGCAGGCCTGACGATGAGCAACTAATGGCCTCCTGAGGAGTTCTGAGCAGCACTGATCCAAGTTTTTAAAGCGCTATCTTGTATTTTTTATTTTCAGTGCAGATATTTCCACATGCTTCATGCAAAGACGTTTGTTTTGGTGCGTTTTGCGGCTTTGGAGTCAGAAATGTTCCTCAAACTACATGCGTGCAGCGTTACTGGATTAAACATGGTGTTAAATTTCTAACACTTTGGGAAACACAAACGGTTAAAACTCACATCGTTGTTGTGAAATCTTTCCTCATTTCCACATCATTACTCATCACATATTTATTTACACATCCTCCTTTTTGCAGAAGTCTCCTTTCTGTCCATAATTAGACGTTTCATTTCATATTATTGCTTTTGATGACGGCGCAGTCGTCGCTACATTAGCTCCTGTTAGCCGGAGCAAAGCTAAAGTGACTGTAGATCAACCCGCTGCTGGAAACATACCGATGAGTGACGAATTAAAGGGAAAACTTAAAGTCTGAAAGCATACAGTGGTGAAAACAGTAGTGATTAGTCTCCTCGTCCTGGAGAATCAATGCCCAGGTGCAGCGATGGAGAGGTTATGTTGATCTTTCATTTAATCTGTCACCCGACTGTACGCAGTAGAAAAACACTTCTAACATCACATCGGAAATCATTCATTTAAAAACAACAACAACAAAAAAACTAAACTAAAGCGTCGGCTCAAACCAGATCGAGTAAAAAAACTAAAAAATATTCTGTGATGAGTGACTGAGCAGCAGCCACCTGACCAACAGTCTGGGGTTTGTTTCTTAGAAAGGCAGCGTTTACACACAGCAGGTATGGAAAGTAGAAAAACATCTTAAGGATTTAGTGTTTATTTCTCCACTACTGAGGACACCTGTGGACACTTGTTGATTCCATTTTGTTCCATCTTTGTCGAGTAAATAAGCAAAGAAATCTGATATTTTTCCAATTTGTGGCACTAAAAGCCGCCTCATGCTGCACAAAAGTCATCACTGAGTTTTCTCTCCTGTTCTGTTTCCATCCAGCTGCAGGATTTTATGTTGCGGTAAAAAAATTAGCAAACATGTGACAGAAGCTGTTTGGAGTTGCTCGTGCTAAGCTACTAAGCTAGCTCGTGTCGTATGCGAGTTGGAGGTTTCAATGTGTGATTTCCAGACGGTTGGTGCTATCCTTCTGAGTTCTTTGAGTTTTAACTTCCTCTGAACTGTCTTTTACTTCCTTTTATAACGTACGGTGCTGTTTTTTTAAATTCTGCGGATCTCATGAATTCTCTTTAATTCTGGCGCCTTGTGAAGCACTGTGGATTTTGAAAATTACTCTATAAATAAAGATAATTATTAGTATTAATATTATTATTATTGGAGCACGTAAATATCCCAAAACACTTTTATTTTGGCGGTGCATTTGCAGCCATACTGTCATCGGTTTGTTTGCACTCGTCTGCCCAAAACTCAGCGAGAACAAAGGTTTGAAATCTTGTTTAAATGCTGCATTTAAGTGCACGATAATTTCATCACTCTAAAAGCTCCATGTGCGATAGGAAACTAGCAGGCGGTGGAAGCGTTTCGTCGCTTTGCATACGTGTAACCCAGGAAACGTGCGCCGTGCGAGCTGCTTCTTACATCCGATGATGATGGGAACTTTGCACGACAGCTTGGCCTGCTCCACGTTTCCGGCACCGAGGGCGTTTCCAACCCGCACGCTGGCAGCAGCCGAGAATCCCATCGGGCTCTGAGGGGAGAAAGAAGCGTTGCACAACTCCCAGAGGTGTATTGAATGTCCACTTTACGGCCAACACACACACTCACACACACACACACATACATACACACACACACACACACACATGCAGAGAATGGACAGCTGGAGGCGGTTACCATGTAAGCGATGACGGTGAGCTGGTAGACGACCGACTGGGCTCCCAGCTCCGCCTCGCTGATCACGCCGGCCAGGAAGCCTCCGATCTCGAACAGCCACCACTCCAGACAGAGCATGAGCATGCTGGGGATGGCCAGCTTCACGAAGGGCCCCCACTCCTGCAGACAGTCCATGGACCAGCCTGGGGGTCACGACACGCCAGCTTCACTCATCTAATCGACTCACGTCAGGTGTGAGTTTAATTCCACGTCAGTCAAATATTACAGGTGATTGAGAAATCGGCTGCGTCACCGCGGTAACCTCTCCTCCACTCTGCATTACACAGTGATAGACGCTAACTGAGCCGGTCAAACATTACACGCCGGCTGCATGATGGAATGAAGACGTGTGATTGTTATGAGAGCGACAGAACCGACCTCCCCACGTGGCTTTGTGCAGCCCCCTGATGCAGATGTAGACGAACAGGAACACAGCCAGGACGTACTGGGAGATGGCGTTGGCTGCTGCAGACCCACTGGGACGGAAACAGAAGAATTCAAAGCGAGGAAGAAATCATCAAACCTTTAAACTCATACAGCTTCTACAAACTGGGGTTAATGTTGTCGCCATTTGTTTCACGAGATCAACTCAAACGAAAACTATGAATCAGGAAATAGCATTTATTACGTGTTTGAGCTGGAAATGGGTTTTAAGTGACTCCACATCCTGTTTACATCACATCTAACGCACCAGACGGCTGCACAGCGAAGCAAGTTCAACAAAGCCTGACTTACTTTATGTTAGCTGGTTCAACAAAACCTAAAAGCCCAGTCAGATATGAATTCTCTGTTCACCAGTTTTCTTCATAAAAGCAGCATTTAACGTCTATTTTGACTTTTCTTTTTGCACAGACACAGGTTCTTATGATGCTGAGATCAGGTGTTAAAAAGGGAGAATTCTGCAAAAGATGCACAAGAGGAATGGTGATTAAAAAAAAAAACGTTAATGTGTAAGTTAATATATTTGGATCTGTGCAGCTGCTTGTTTCTAACATGACAGCTGCACATTAAAGATCATAAACATAACTCCAGTTTTTGGACAAATTAAAGTGAAAATAATTCAAGATTAACTTTATTGTCCCCGGCGTGGGAAATTTGTCTTTGGCTAATGTTCTTTGAGCTGGAAAACCATCAGCGCAGGACGATTCTGCAGCAAATCAGCATCAAACTTAAAACATTTATGGATTTTCTGTGTCTGTAGCTGCACCACTCAGACATGCAGCCCAACAGGTTTGCAGATGATCACTTATTCCATCAGCTGACGGCTCATAAAGCATCACCTGGAAACAAGTCGGTGATTTAAATCCCCGAATCTGATCTGGTTAGCTGTGCAGCATCAGTTGCCATGGTAACCTAGCAGGTTCACGACATTGAAAACGCTTAATCCTGCTTCGTAGTGCAGCCCTCGTCATTTGGATTGAGATTTATTTTTTAATAAACAAACTATTAGCAAACTCAAGGTAATGATGATGCAGGAAAACTTACGCAACCCCCATATCCAGGCGAAACAGGAGGAGGTAGTTGATTAACGCGTTCAGGATGTTTGCGATGGCTCCGGTTATGACCTGAGGCCATATAATTCCCTGTAAACCAAAGCCTGGCGTTAGCATCACTAAACACCCCGTTATTAACTGTGCAGGACGTTGGCGTCGGGCGGAGAGAGCAAACCTGATTTTGAAGATACCGGCCCTGCAGCTGGTACATGAAGGCAGCCTGAGGAGGGAAGACAGGAAATGATTCCAGATGTGCTAGCAGCGCCGCACGGGGGCGCTAAATGCTAACTCACAATGCTAGCATGCTCATGTTTAGCATCTTAACTTAATGCTAATCTGCACTCACACGAGGCAAGTTTATCATTTACTATAAAAGTTACTGCGGTTCATCCTCTGAGGAGAGTCACAACAATCCAGCTGTTAGATGTCGAGACGCTCCGGTTAAACCTGAACCTTTGGACCTGAGATGATAAATTATCTTTATTATGCAACGAAACTGCAAATCTGATGCAAATTTGAACACCTGTGACTTTACTAAAAACCCAAATGGCTGTAAGCTGCTGGAGGACGAGTCACAGAACCGACCAGTTGGGAGGTTTCGTGTTCTGGACGCGTCTGAAACTCACCGGCAGCGAAGGCATGAAGATCTTCACGTAGAGCTGCGACAGGCTTCATGCAGAAACACAAACAGAACAAACATCAGACTGTGACGTAAGAATAAGAGGTTATGAAACATTAAGTCTCTCAAATAAACTTCTACCTGGAGGTCATGATGGATCATTAACATCCAGGGAATTGGACAAACCTCTAAAGACACGTGTCTGAAGCAGTGAATGAATCAGGCTAATCATTTCCTACAGTCAGATCTGGGGAAGAGGGAACTGCTCATTCTGGCAGAAAACTGAATTTAAAGTAGCTACAACTGATAATGCTGCAATTACTGATTTACTGACAGTTGCTTTGTGTTGTTGGAGACACAAAACAGTGAAGTCCTGCAGGAACCAGGCGTCAGAGTTTTGATAATCTCACGTTTCTTAATTCACTTCTTGGAACCATTTAAT